AATTTTCTCCGAGGTTGCAACACAAGCTCTCTCCCCCTCCTCCACATACAGTCACTGCGCCGAGTGGATAAGCTGGAGATTCTACAGCATAAGCAAGATGGCACACGAAGGTGTACAAGCCTCTCTCCCCACCCGAATAACCCACGCCCTTGAGGGGTACAGCGAGAAGGAAAGGTTGAAAGCCCAGCCATCACAACTCCTGCACTGGCTCGTTGTAGTGCTTTTAAAATGGGGGGGGCAGGAGAACTGCTCCTTGCCAAATGTTATGCTCAGACAATAGCATCGAGAAGGGGCTGCAACCCCTGTTATACCGATGGGTCGTTCAGTTCCGAGTCTTTTTTGTGATTCAGTTTCTCCCGATACCTAGGCCATTCTGCAAACCCCATGCACACACTCATTTGAGCCACATGTTCTGAAAATTAAACAGTTTTGGGGGGGAGGTTGTTGACTGGCTTTATCATGACAATATCCAAGACTTACATTCATATATGAAAAAGTCACTTTTAATGACAAATTCTCTCCGAACAAAGCTACAGCTGCAGATAGAGGGAGGACATAAAACAAGACAAATACAATTACTTTGGTCTTTAAAAAAGTGTGTGTGGGGGGGACGGTTTGTGTGTCTGTGTACAAGATGATGCAAAGACAAAATGAGAGTTGCACCCCATCAGTAAAAATCACTGTAGATGTACAGAGGCAGGATTCTAGGGAGACACCTGCATTTTTTTTATTTATAATTTTTTTTTAAACATCCAGGGTTTTAGCCCTGTTTGCTTTGGAGTTTAGACTTCCCTTGTCAGAAAGGCCAGTCACTTTTCACAGTGCTTTTAAATTGTACATCGCCTTTTTATTTTAAAGGGGAAGGGAAAGCTTCCCTGCGATGTTGGGAGGAAAAAGGAACTGGAGGTTTACTGGTATTAGTTTCTCTCTCAAGAAGTTGTACTTTCCCCTGGTTTTTGCTGGAAATGTGTGGTGAGAGGAAATCAGGAGTGCTAATTCTGGGCTTTACAAGCTCTTGAAGGATGTATCTTGCGAGTGCTCAAACCTTACCCCACAGTGCAAGGCTGTTTGGTATTTTAATATACCTTCTCTCTCCAAAATGTTAACTGCTCATTGAATTTAAACCAAAAAGACTAAATACAAACTGCACTGTAGTTCAGGGGTTGGCAACATATAGCCCATGGAGTCATCAGATTTGGCCTGCAGAGCCAAAGTGTTTTGCCTATGCCCACACTGGGACTAGACAGAGAGAAGCTGTGCTGGGACCAGACATCTGGAAGCTACGTCCATGCCACTATCACTTATCTCCACAGCCCACCCCACCGGCTGTGCCATGGGCACAGCATCCAGCAGGTGGGGAGCTGTATCAGAGCTGGGCAGGTTACAGCTGCGCCCATGCTGCAGCTGAGAGGCATGAGGGAAAGCAGCAGCAAGAATGCAGCTTCCAGCTGCCTGGCCCCAGTGTGGCTGCAGACAAAGCCCCCCAGCTCAGGTAGGACCACAGCCAAGTTGTTCCAGCCTGCAGCTTGTAAAGGTTGCCCGTCACTATTATAGTTTGATTTAAAAACAACAACAACAACAACAACAACAACAACAACTGGCTTTTCCTTTTAAAGCTATGGCCCCTTTGGTTATTTTCTGGACATGAGAATCTCGCAGGCTTTTCTTCTTTCATATGATAAAGAACAGAAAAAGCAGAAGTCCAAGTCTCATCACTTCCCTTTTCCAGGACAAATTTCAAGATACTCCAAACTTCCAGCACAAAACCGACCGGATGCCACATCCAATACTGGGCAGCCATTCCCTGAGTTAAGAGCAGGCATCTCCATGGGAAAAGAAGTCCAGCCCACCTCCTCTGCCCTGTAGCACACGCTCATTACTCTCCCTAACCCTACTGCAATCACCCAGAAATCTCACCTGGAGACGTTTTCATATGTATGAAAACTACATATAGCAACTGCTCACAGAGAACCAGTGATCACATTGCAAGGCGTGCTGCTTAGGCCAAGTCCCCATACGTTTGCTTGGGAAGCACGAAGCTAAAAGGATTTTCACTGTCTAGAGAAGTACAGATTCCCACTCCCTCCCACATCCACACTCACTTAGTGCAGCTCAACATATAATTCTGAAAATTCATTCCAAAATATCACATGTAACAATCAGTAACGCAACAGACCTTTGCATTACATTATTCAAGGCCCTCATATGCTTGGTAGTGATACTTGCCATCAACTTTACAGATACCAGGGGGGTTAAGTGTTTTGCCTGAAGTTACTCAGCAGTAAGGGGCAAAAGCAAACACAGAGCCCAGATTCCTCGCACAACCCCAAGCACTAGACCAGAAAGATATCAAATACTTGGCCTAAAGGCCAGACTGAGCCCATCTAATATACAACATAATTGTGTAGCTTTCAAGATGTACAGACACTCACAACTGGATTTAAGTTTCCAGCCTTCCTGGGCACAAAGTTAACACAATGCGAGTGTGAAGGCAGACAGCACTGTCATCCTAAACAGGGCAGTGTCAGAGTGATAGTGAATGTTTCGCATCTGAAGGCTTACCTAACTTTACTCTAACTATGCAGCTGGTCTAATAAAAGATATTAACACAACACCCCCCACCCCCCAGAAAAAACAATCTTTGTAAATACACAGGCAACCTAAAAGATGTGGACTTCCCTTCCCCCACATTACCACCAGTAGGATATTCATCACTCAAAGCCCAGTGACAACACTTTCCTAGTCAGCAATTGAAACAGTGCTTGCATTACAGCAGTGGCATAGGAATGGCTGCAGGGAAGGACAGAAAGGAAACTAGCTGAGAAAAAGGCAAAAAGAGCAGGATTCTACCGGGGGAGCAGTTTGCTTACTGAACCAAGCTGATTACCCTGCCCAGACAACCATAACCTCCAAGACATTGTCTAGACAAAGTGCACCATCAGGAAATTTTAACTAGCAGTTTGAAAGCCTAGTGTAGACAAGGCATGCTACCTTTAACCATGTGTCTTGCTTGTCCAAACTGGCTTCTCAATGCCAACTTAGCCAGCACAGCCCCACATCACAATTTTAAATCCCGGTCCAAGAATTCGAGGCTACATCCAGACCACGACTGACCACAGGGACAAAGCTAGATTGTAACTGCAAGGTCATCAGAACACCGAGCCATAACTGGAAGATCCTGCCTCTGCTGTTTGTATTTTATGCTCAATAGATTAAATTAAAAATGGAAATGTTCATGAGCATGTGTGAAGTTATCATCATTTTTAACTCCAACTATGATTTTACAGGTAAACATGACACCTACAGGACCCAGAAAGTATTTTCTACAGCATTTTATCCACAGCACTGCTCTGCAACCTTTAAAACAACAGAGGATCTCAAAGCACTTTATAATCAATGACTTTGTAAGTGCACACTAGCTTTGGAGATGGGTAAACAGCTCCTCTAACATCACCAAGTTTGCACAGTTTTAACTCAGGGCACACTTGGCCTGAAGACACTGACTGCAGTGGGAACTGCACATGCCGTTGATCTTGGCTGTGGCGGGGAGAGTTGGAGAACATGAGGCCATTTTTTTAGGTTGTGCAGTTAGGAAATTATTCAGGGCATAGAGCTAGTAACAAGCCCTGGAATTACAGTCCCAGTCCCAAACTTCATAGGTAGGAAGTATATTGATGGTCTTGGCCTCTAGAGGTGGGGTGGCATTGTTTAGGACACAGCTTTGTCAGCTCTGCTAGAGATGCAGAAGAAGAGGCAAGGGGATTTTAAACCTAAAATCTGACAATCTTATTGTGGGACTATGGGGCAATACGATGAGAACAGGATCTTCCCCCTTTCTTTCAACACTTGCCCAGAAGCTAACAGCAGGTTTTCAGGGGGCAGGGAAGAGTTACCCTGGATCTCAGCAGCCCTGGCATTTTGACACTTCACAACTGGATCTGCAGTGTAAACACCACCCCACCTTGATTGGGCAGCACGGCTAACAAAGAGTTCAGTCTGGGCGCTGCTACAATAAATACCAAAAGAATTACGAATGTGGTAGCTTCTTCTTGCCCTTCCAGCAGTATTTGGGGAATGGCCTGTCATTTTGAAAGACTGATAATTCCTCATTGCTTGTCCCAGGCAATAGGTGTGCCCCTAACCAAATAGGCTTACCACTTAAAAGCTTAATTGCACCTGTGATTTAACCCTTATCCCCAAAAGCACTTGGGCCCTTTTGGATTTGGGAATTTCAGGTGTGGAACTGTGGTTTGCATTCACAAACAGAGCTGGGCAAGTTGGAGAAGCAGGACAGGAAAAGGACAAAATTACATACAACAGGAAGCACAGGACGGGGAAGAAAAAATAATTGTATTTCATTTTGAAGAGATTTAGCTGCCTTTGCATTTCCAGCTGTGTTTGGGTAAGGGCCACCTCACTGTTTGCAATGAAGGGCAGGTTTCATGGTCTCAGATTTCTTTTCCACAACAAAAAGATCAAAGTTTGAGCCACTTGTGCAACTTGGGTGTTTACAACAAGCTCCTCTAATTGCACAGCCAGCCCTCTCTGTCTTTATCAATCTCACACTCAGCTGTGAGCCTTCGTTTCATATGTAGCATGAGAAATGGGAGAAAGAGAGATAGCCCAGGTCCAACTTGAATTACAACCTGCCATCCTTCCTGTCTGATCTTGCATTGGAGCATAAATATAACTTTTTAGGGAGGGTTTTAATACTTCAGGAATAAAGACTCACCCACGTGCTTCTCTGTAAAGCAGTCACGTACTCTCTGATTGTTACAACCCCCCCTTAAAAATGCAACCTATCAAGTGCAAATATAGACTTCCATAATTTGTGATTCTTATCAATGTGAATAAAATAATAAGTTGCATTCACATGCCCTCTGAATTGTAGGCCAAACTCTCAATATAGTCCAAGTAACATAGACAGATGGACTGTTCTGCATTCCCATAGGGAGACTGATGTTGCTTCAGAGACTACAGAAGGGGGAGCATGAATTTACACTTGGAGCACTTAGAAGATATGACATTCTGATTCCCAGTCTTATTTACAGTGCGATTCACTATAAACTCAGGAACCGCACAAAACTTCCTGGGTCTCCGTTTCACCATCTATAAAGTAGAGATAAAAACATGTAAGGTTTTGAGAGATGTTATTAATTAATATTTGTGAAGCACATATCTTCAGATGGAAGGTACCATATAAATATTAATAAGCTCAGGCTACTGGCAGCATGCATGTCTCTTGGGACTAGCAAGTTGCATGCATGGATCAAAGAGGGCATGTAGCTCTAAGAGGCAGAATGGTGGGAGTTGGCTCTGTGTTTAATTATTTTTTTTAAACTAGATCCTCTAGACTGTTGTGAATATTCCCTATCAGGTTACAGCAGCTTTCAATTACAGTTACATTTTATCCTTAGGCAAAGTTATACAGTGTACCTTTAATATTAGCAGGGCACATTTTCACTCCTGGAGATCTTTATTCCATATACCCTTGTTAATGTACTTGTAAAAGGGGGGAGGGGGGGAAATCAAAATCAAATCAACTGGGAAATAAGAATTTTCACTTCACACTGATCTGAATGAATATCCCTCCCCTAATAACATCACTGGTCAACTTTCTTGTCCACTGGAGTTGGAAAGGAAAGGAAAAAAAAGGGGGCACGCCGAAAAAGTGGCGAGGCTATGTTTCGAAATATTAGCACAGCAAGACTTCGCACACAGCAGAGTTTTGTTCAGGATGAAAACAATGGAACAGCCTCACACAGGCTTAAAATGTCAGACTGTTTCTGTTTTATTTAACCATCATATCGAGAACAAGAGTGGCAAAGCATATAGCTAGGAACAGACTTCAGAAAGGTCCATGGCTTTAATCATGACCCTAAGTGGGTTTTTTGGTACAATGACGGGGTAGCATTACAACATGATCTACAGCAGTCCTTTCCAACCCACTCCCTTGCCTGGCAGGCATGCTGAGAAGGAAGCTTTCTGCAGATACCTCAGGAATGCAGTGTGACCCCAGGCACCAAGCATGTTCTAGGGAGGCTGTTTGCCAAGTGTCTCTGGTAAATCCCAACAGTTCAACATTGTCTTGATACTAAGACAGTGGAGATCCAAGGGGAGCAGTCCTGCACCTCCCCCAGTCTAGCTCTTGGAGAATATTCTGCGTCTCACTATCAGTCTTCTTACCATGCTCAAGATGTACAACATGCTCATAGAGCCAAGTGTTGGTTGCTCAGTGAAGACCACCTTGGGCAAATTTGTCACACAAGGCCAATTGGACTTAGGCTCCTCAGTTACTTCTCTGTACTGAACTTGCTAATTTCCACCCTGTTTTCTGGAACAATGCTGAAAATTTGATATTGCCTTCTAGGCTTGCTGTGAAACCAGTGCTGACAACAAACTTAAGCACATCCAGTGGTTGCAGCTGAAGTAGGAAAAGTGGGACCTACAGTTCATTGAAGGTAATAACAACAGTGAAGGCCACAACGTAGACACAATTGTAAGTACCTTTGCCCTTTCATTTAACTGCTCAGAATAGGTCCACTGGAGACAGTATTACCTCCTAGTATGTCCCGTATTAGCACCCGCTGCACCACCAAAAGGACGTTTTCAGTACAGATGAGGCCCGTGTAGATGTACACAATGAGCACAAACCTGACAGGCAGACCATCACCATGGGTACCCAAGAGTTTGGATGCTAATGGCATTGGTCGTGAACTGTTTTGTGTGTCCAGGAAATATGCTTGCTACTTTTACACAAAATGTAATTCCTTGTAAGCATTGTGTTGAAGACAGTATAGATAAATCAGTATTTACACACATCTAGCATCACATTAAGCAAGGAACATGTTTTCTAAAGGAATGTGGAGGTGGCATCAGAGTGCCAGTAAGTTCAACATAAGGAACTCAACCCAAACTGGAGAGGGTAACCAGTCACCTTATTCCCACCACCCAAACATTTCTGCACCACCATCATTTTCAAGGAAAATCCAACCCTCAGAAGTGGCCAACCCCTTTTGCTGAACAGTCGCCCAAAAAAAATGAATTTGAAAAAAGCCATACCATTTTCTGTCCCCAGAACTAAGTTAAATGGCACCCGGCTCCTCTCTGTATAACATCATGGGCCCTGGCATGGAGAAGATACAATGGAAAAATCAGAGGGTGAGAAGATTTATGCTGCCCCTACCCCAACAAGCATTTTTTTTAGCAGTATCAAAAGTCATTCTGGTTTCCAACTCCCCCATTCCCTCCCCCTTATAAAGGAAGCATGATCATAAGAGAAATCTATTGGCAAATAGTCTGATTAGTCTGTTGATGGGCATAAAGAGTTCAAAACCAAGAGAAAAAACATGCTGATATTCTAGTATCAGGCAGCAACATCTTCCCATCTGTATGAGTTACTGGGTTGAACATTAGCTTTTGACAGAGAATAAAATATTTCAGTTATGGAAATATGCTCCTCTCTTTATACTTGGACAGTTTTCAACAGGAATTTTTTTTTTCCCCTCTGTACACCTTTTTCCTCCTATACGGCCTACTGCCTCGTTCATCAAGTATTCCACCCTCCCGCCCCCCCACTGTTACCAGTTACATGAATTCACAAAGAATAAAAACAGGGAAAACTATCAGCAGCATCTAGGTGCAGACAAAGCTTGACCTGGAATAAACTTAAAATCAACCCAATGGTCCGCTCACAGTCGCACAATTTATTTATACAAGGGTGGGAGGAGGGAGTACATACATACACATATATAGTTTAGATCCATAATGCCCAAGAACCGCACAGTAGCACAAGCACCATGCTTACAGTTGGTTTTCATCACCGTTAAAAGGCCCCAAAAGCCCATAGGTTTAATTACAGAAATGGCCAGGGTAAGCCAACTCTAACACAGCATGTGCTACCTGCGTTGAGAAGCCCCTCTGCATGAGGGCAGAGTCCCTGCCAGTCACTTGTAATGCAACTGGGGTCTGCTAAGTGAGAGAGTGGTTCAGGAGTGGCCCCACCATCCCCCTTGGCAGATCACTGCTCTGCAGGATGTAGAAAGGATCCCGAGACTATTTATGTCACTCTCAAAACCACACAAGCACCGCTGGCCACGCTCCAGAGTGCTCACTTGCTGCTTCTGTTTTCATGCTACACGTCCGTGGCAAGGCATAATCTAACTGGCACTGAGGGGTGGCAGCGGTGTTCAAAAGACCCCTCCAGAACTGGGGTGACAAGACGTGCAAGAACGACTAGAAACTATTTAAACACCCCCCGACCAAGGCTGGAGTGACATATCTACTTCTGTGCCAAAAGATGGCATAACTAGGGGTATGTTTTCTAAGAAATATGAAGCTGGTGCCAAAGTACTAATATATCTGTAACACTGAGCCTTAAAGCCTTTAATAGAAGGAGGGGGCAGTGGAGATTCAGCTTAAAACCGCACACAAACCAAAACAGGAAAAAAAAAATAGAAGAGATTGCTATGAAAATACAGCCACAGGTCTCAGCCCCTGGGATCCTTCGCAGAACTTCAAACCCCTCCTTTCTCATAAACACTAACAAATTTTAAACAATCAGAAAGGGAAAAGAGGCAAAACTCTAACAAAAAGAGTTAAGAAAGGCTTCACGCTGTTCTTAACAAACAATAGTCCATATATAAATGTGGCATAGCCCCCCAAAAGTTACTAAAAGGTGGAGAAAGTGAGAAGACTTAACTGTAACCTGCTCCCACTCTAGCAGAAATTCACCTACCCTTTACCTTCCACAAGTATCATTAGCAGGCTCCTGCGAGCAGCAAAAAAGCTGCCGAGATCAAACACAAGCTAGTAACAAAGCTCTTCCTCTCGTCTCCCCGACATGGGCCAGAATTCCTGGCTGAAGCTAGTCTTTTCCCGAAGGGGTGGGTTAGTTCAGAGTCCTTCTCAAAAGTTCCCTGCTGACAGCATGCTTCAGCTGCAATGCAGAAAGTGCAAAAGCCAGGAAATACAACAACATTCACACCAACCTCACCCCTTCGATCACACCTCTCTGAGAATATGCCAAGGGGCCCGCCGTTTCACATTTGGAGGACTTTGTTTACCCGGGTAAAGAGCAGGGAGGATTTTTAGTTGCAGAAGCCATTATTCTTACGTCTTTATTAGATTTGGGACTTTAAAAAAAACCCTGCCCTTTGATTTATACAATGATTTCCTACATTAACTTCAAGCTCTCAGTATTTTTCTTTTCTTTTTTTTTTTTTTAAGCTAAAATACAGCTTGAAACACCACACCAAGTGCTGTCACGGTCCAAAAATGTCAGGATTCTCAAACTTAAGTCCACCCCTGTATAAGAGAGCTGCACACACGTATGTGTCAATCAGCCACTGTAGCAAGCCAGAGAAGCCCGGTTTGAGATTTCAGCATGGCATAAACTTCTGTGGGCAAGAGAAGTGCCAGTCTGTGGCACACCTGCCTTGTCCATGTTGTGCCTGGGGTTGGGTCAGAAAAGCCCGTCCCAATGTTGCTTCTCTGCTTTGGTTTCACATAAAGTCTCCTCCCGGCAGAGAAAAAGAGGAGAGGAAAATAATTAAACTTAAGACTTAAAATGACAGTTTTTGCAGACTCAAACTGTCTGCTCTCCATCACCAGAAACTCTTCATCTGGTCCTACAAATTTCACTCCAGGCTGTTAAAGGTGGCATTATCATCCCCATTCTCCTCCTCTTGGCATCAGCACTAAAATAAAATACCTCCAGGGCACTGTGGAAAATGGCAAACAGACAGGTGGCAAAATCTTTGGGTGGTCGGGCAGTAAAAACCCATGTCAAAAAAAAAAAAAAAAAAAAAAAAAAAAGAGTCAGGCAAGTAACTGGGCAAAGACAACAAAAACCAGCATTGTCCCGGATTTGGGTGCTCAGCAGAAGCCTGATAATTAAAACGGAGCTAAGCCCACATGATACCGCAACGGCTCAGGAACTATTTTGAAGCAGGTAAACCAATATCGCCTGTACCTGTTCCAAACCGCATATTAATATATGGCCTCTGTTTCTACAAAGCCTGCTGGCAGCTCTCCTGGAAGGAGCTCCTATCTCCAAGAGGATCTTGCATTCTCTCTCCTCTGAAAAAGGATCCCAAACAAGTGGCTGGGGCATACCTTTTTGGAAGCCCCTGCATGTTTATCTTTACTGATAAGCCTGCAATCTTGGCTGGGAGTGCATCAGTTTGTGTCTGCAGCAAACGCCTGCTCCAGCAAAGCCTTCCTTATGGAACAGGCTCTTTCAAAGCTGGGTAGCTCATTTAACCTCTTACTGACCAATGTTAATAGTCTGTGATCTTTCTGCCTCAGAGACTCTCTCAAGTGAGCCCTACTACCTCTGTGTCCAATCACTGAGAGATGGTCAGCAAAAACCATTTGGGCTTCTGGACCTGCAGACCAGACCAGAACTCCCTAGCGTGCTTAGTAGGTGTGATCCTTTTGGTGAGTAAGTTAAAGGATCCACTCGCACAGATTTGTCATTGCTTGTGATCTACAGTGCCACATGCACACTGAAGGCAAACACCCAAAAAATCACTAGGGACTTCCCCAAAGCTGAGAAGACCTGTATCTCAGGCAGTGCGAGCGCAACAGCCAAGCAACTGCGGTGCTTCAAGACAGGCTGCACTTCCCAGGCCATCCCCTTTCCATGTGCTCATTAGCTGACACCAACCTGGTTTCAGTTAAGCATGTTCAGTGCCAGAGGTGTTTTTAAACGGTGTTTTCAACCTTTACTTGTGTTTACAGCACGTGCAGTGTACTCTGCTTTCAGAAACAGTACGAGCTTGCCTGAGTGGCTGGGCTCTGGTATCTCAGATACGCCTTTGCCAGGGGAAGGAGTATTTACTCATTACCTGGTCCCCAAAGAATGACTTCCCTTCGATCTGTCAGCCCCATACTCAAAATGTGATACCAGAACAGCAGATAAGAAGTTGAGAG